CAAAAAAAAAACACATTAATTTCATTACATGTCTATATAGTAGAGGTCAAGTACTATATATATATATATACACCTGTTTAATATGAAAAACCCTTAAATATAAAATACAATAAAAAAATCAAACTTCAGTGCTGAGAAAAAAAACTGCGCAAAATGATATTTTGGTTATAGGATATCTTCATAGGCAGTCAAGCACAAAAAACACATAATATTTAGAAAACTTTCCATTCTACTAGACTTTGTAGAACTTTTTCCGCTGATCATTATGATAAAAAAAACATTTACAGTTTCATTGAGAAATGACGGTGTTATAGTCACAAAATATTAAACACTCTGAAATCTTGATGGCTCCAAAATGTTTACAACATAGTTTGTTTTGCGAATATCTCTGCACAGACAAATGATAAATTCTTGATTTTTTTTTCAAAAGATGCACCGTCGAAACCTCTATAAAAGCTGTGAAAATTCTATAAACAAATGCTGATTGCAAAACAAAAAAGTCTGCCAAACATTTTTATTATCCTTTTGCGCATTTTTTTTTCTCAGCACTAAAGTTTGATTTTTTTTATTGTATTTTATATTTAAGGGTTTTTCATATTTAACAGGTGTATATATACATAGTACTTGACCTCTATTATATAGACATATAATGAAATTAAATTAATGTTGTATAGTTTTAATACATTACTCAAAACAAAAAAAAAGTGCAGAAATACTTCTGACGTCGACTGTTCTATACAGCATAAAAGTTTTACTAGTTATCTTTTACATTTTTATGACTGAAATACATGCCTGTGATGGAATAACCAAAAATGGACTGTGAATTTTAGATCATATCTATCAGTGTGATTAAAAATTTTTCGAGAGAAAAAGTTGTAGCTGAGATGACGAGCTTTATATAGAAAAAAGAAAACAATTCAAAATATATGATAGCTTCGTTTTACATGTAGAAAAAATTATCGTATAACTTTTATAAAATATGAATTTCGCATTTTTCTAACTTTACCGATATTGGTAGATCGTTACATGGACAGATCGTAGTATATTATAAAACAGGAAATGTTTTGAAACATAAAGTGTCCTTGATATTATAAAAATGAATTTTATTCTATTTAAATTAAAAACATACTATAATTATATATAAATCTTAATAACTTTTCATCATAATATACTTAAAAGTTAACTTTTCTATACTTGTTTTTTTTTGCTAATATTTATTAGCCCATCTTGATTTCTCATACATGAGATATAATGATAAATACTTCTGTTAATAACAAAATATTTTCTTATTTAATAATCAATATTTCTATTGTTTATATCTAGTATTCATATACTCAATCAATTAGTTGATTATGGTTGGTGTTCCCGTATTTCCACTCGATTAACATTGTTCGATATAGATAATTTCGACCATATTGAAAAAACAATACATGCTATGATACCATTTATTAATATATGTCATCAAGATTTTATTCATCTAATACCTATATTAGATAAACTTTATAAGATATATACAAAAAATAATTTAAATAATGATTTAACATATACGGATATAATAAATAATATACAAATTCTTTTAACAAAATTACAACAAAAATTATCGGATGATTTATAATCATTATATCCTGCTGTGTTTGATCTTTATACTAGTCAAATAATATCACTTCTTTTTTTGTTCTATTTGATTTATATATCCTAATTGTTTTGTTTGTATGTTTCTTTTTTTTTTTTTTTTGTTTTTTTGTTGTTATTAAAAATAAAACAAAAGAGAGAAAACAATATTATCTAAATATAATAGAAAAATTTTTCATTGCAAATAATTCTAATATAGACTTGTTATTTGTTCTATTTATTCGTCTTCTAATATATATATATATATATGTACATATATAATTAGCCTTGGATTTAAGTTCTAACAGCAATGAAGATACATATATGACAAGAAAAAGAAAGAAAGAAAGTCTTCGTTATTTTATCCTACTAAGTGTATTATATGTTTTCAGATATCTTTCGTTCTTTTTTTTTTCTTCTTCTTTTGCTTCTCATTTTTAAGACCAATAATATACTAGCAAGTTCTATGCCTCGACTAATATCCACAAGAGAAAAAAAGAAGGCTTTTTCATGACAACCAGATTAGATCTTGTTCTATGTTTGCTTATGCATATAGGAGAAAAGAAAGATGAGATCGTTTTAGTTTACACTGTGCCCTACGTTATTCGTCAAGAAAGAAATATATATATATATCGAACTCTGTGTATACTAATGGTTAAGCAGGCGAAGGAGAAATAAAAAAAAAAAAAAAAAAAGAACTGCACTAATATCAGTAGCGGTTATCCATTTTTTTCTCTTCTGCATCTTCCTACGCTAGTGTAATATAGCACCAAAATAGGCAATTCTCGTTGTAGCAGCACCGTCAACAACAAAAACATCGTCGAGTAGAGAGAGAGAGAGAGAAAGGAAGATAAAATCGGGTGCTCTTTTCCTGGTAATCATCTATTGTGGTAAGCTACTTGTGCATAGTACACATACACGGTCATCGTCGTATATTATTTATCCAAACTCCAACAATGACAGACGTAAGTGATGATATTTAAAAGAAAAAAAAACAACAAGCTAAACTTTTTATTTCCTCATCATTCTAAACTGAATATTGAAAAAAAAAAAGCTCACTAAAATTCGTAAAACAGAAGCGATATTCTAGAAAGAAGAAGTAAGTTTTTATCATCTTGTGCATAACCTATACATATTCTTTCTATTCATATAATTTTTACACACACACACACACACAAAAAAAACAAATTATTCTTTTTCTTTTGTTGAATTTCATTTCGCATGACAAATTTTATTTCCTCAAAATATCATCGATTATTGATGAATACATATATATAATTTCATATTTGCACAGAAGATAAATTAATAAGTTTATTGTTTAATTAAATATTAAAAAACAAAAAATAACGAATATATATATTTTTTTTATTAGAAAAAAATGAAAAAGAAGGCTCAACGTGCCACAAGTAATGTTTTTTCAATGTTTGATCAAAAACAAGTACAAGAATTTAAAGAAGTATATATATATATATTTTATACAAAATCGTTTTCTATTTAAAAAAAAAACAAAAATAATTTTTTATCTTGTTTTAATTAGGCATTTAATCTTATGGATCAAGATCGTGATGGTACAGTTAGTATGGATGATTTAAAAGAAGTATATGCTTCACTTGGTAAAGCACCAAAAGATACAGAATTAAAAACTATGCTCGAAGAAGCTCAAGGTCCAGTTAATTTTACAACATTATTAACTTTATTTGGAGATCGATTAAATGGTACAGATGAAGAAAATGTTATATTAAATGCTTGGAAAAATTTTGATGGTGAAGGAAGTGGACAAATCAATCAAAAAGGGTTATTTAATAAATACAAAAAAAAAAAGAATTTATCATATATAAAATTTTGTCTTTTTTATATTATATTTTAGTTTACGAGATGTCCTTACAGGTGAAGGACGTCCTGAAGATCGTAAGTATTTGACTAAAAGAAAAAAAAATATATTAACTGCTTCTTTGTTTTTTTTTTTATTTTGTAAAGGATTGACCGATATGGAGGTATGAATTTATTTTCCTAATTTTTCAATTAATAAATTTTATTTTATAATTTTAGTTCAGTCAAATGCTCGATGGTGCTCCAATAGATCCAAAAGGCAATCTTGATTATGCTGCATTTACTCGACAGATTAAACGTGGCAAAGAAGATGAATAAGATCCTAATGACTAAATTTCAATTAGACTTATTTTTTCTTTACCCTTATCTTATATACCTTTCTTTTTTTTTTCTTCATCTGTTTAAACATCTATACTAATAAAATAAATGTGAAAGTCAACCCATTGAATTCATAGTATAAGAGAGAAGAAAACAAAAACAAAAAAGGGTTTTCAAGTGTTTCAATGCAACAAAACAATAGTAGCCAAGTGTTTGATTACTAAATGCTTAAATCAATAGTTTGTCTATATATGTAATCAAGAGCATTAGTAAATCAGCATTATGATATCAACAAAAAAAAAAGAAAATTTTTTGAGAACTTAAAAAAAAAAATTGAAAATTTATCTTTTGAAATTGGATATTTGTTAAAAAACATTTAACTAAAGCATACGTAAGTAAAAATTTATATATAGAAATAGACAATTGTACTTGTCTTTTACAATAAAATAGAAATTTATTTAAATATTTTTAAATTATTCATTTTATGTGTATCATTATTGATATATATTTAATTTATCAAAGTATAAAAAATTCATCTCTTTTTTTTTTACATTTAAAACTAATCAATAGAAAATTGCAATCATCAACAAACTTTTTAGATTTCATCGTCTTTTTTCATTAACTAAAAGTTCGGCGCAATACTTATTTATTAATGTATGTCTCTATAAGGCATTGTTTTTGTTTGATTTTGCTTCTAGTTCTTGAAAAAAAAAATAAGAGCTTGAAACAAACCGATTTTTTTTCTCACTTTATTGACATCTGAAAAAAGTATCATAAAAACACATCAGTTTTGAATTATATATTAATTCTTAATAAATCGAAATTTTTCAGTTCAAATTCAATTTCAATTGGTATTTACATAATAAGAGAAATTCTGCAAATGATTAGTCAATTTTGAGTTCATGTAGATACTAATGAATTAAAAATATTCTACAAATAGTTCGTATATTTTAATTTATTATTGTGAATATTATCATGGTATTCATTTAAAAAATATAGTATTTCGACTCAAAAATGATTTAATGAATAACATTTTTTTTGGTTATTTTAGCCTAATTCTCAGAAGAAAGACAGATGAATTTTTTTTTTTTTGTTGGTAAGGTATTGGAAAAGAAAGAAAAACTTGATTAACATTTTGACTGTTTTTCTAATATTTAAAACTTGTACATTTTATTCTTTAGATCTACAAACTTGAGAAAATTATTATATTATATCAAAACACTTATTACTTATCGATATCAATGCCAATATCAAGTGGTTTTAGTTTTTATAAGGATATTATTCCAATACATGAACGACAACGTATTGTACGACCACAAATCTATTCTCGTACATCCAAGGTAAATTTTATTTTATTCTATCCTTATGTGTACATGTTTATATTTTTCATCAATTGCCTTTTTTATTCATTTATTTCAAACAAAAAAAAAATTATTAATAATTCTTTAAAAGAACAAGAAGAAAAAAGAATTCAGAATGAGAAAAAAATATAAATGTGTATTTTTTTTTCTTTTTTGTGTTACATCTAACAACAACCGTCAAATAGAAACATCGAGTAATTTGAAAAGAGACATCGAATAAAAAAAAAAGGAAAGGAATTACTATACTAGTAGTTAGACAAAATATTTTAATATAATAAAAAAAAAAAGAAAAAAACGAGAAAATAAAAAGAAGAGAAGAAAACGAAAGAAGAAAAAAAAAAACTTTATATGTCACAAAGTTATCACGAGCAGTTTCAAGAGAATCGACGAAACAATAATCAGAATGGTTTATTCTCAAAGTCGAAAGCAACAGCAGGTAACAAATTACCAACACAACGACCAACAGCCGTTGTCAAACAACCAATACGTTCGGAGACATTTACATTGCCAACAAAACATCATGAAACAAATTTTAAAGTGCCTAAACTTAATCCACCACAAAATGGTTTCCGTCAACAACCAATTAAAAAATCTACCATCATAAATTCAACACCACAAATCGAACAAAAACCTATTGAAAAAATGCGTAGAAATGGTGATGTTCGACCTATAATGCGACAAAATAATTTATTTATGAATCAAGGAAATATTCAACGAAAACCTGTACGCTTTGCTAATGACTATAATAATACTTATTATTCTTCTTCTTCTAATTCTGCGCCTGTTCATTATCAAAAACCTGCACCTCTTGCTAATCCTTTACCTCGAGATGCTTTAAATAAATCACGACGTATGCGTATAGCCAATGATGAATATGTAATACATCGTCGAAAAGATTCACCTGCTGCTTATGCTTATAATGATTATCAAACGGTGAGTGATATACCAACTATTTCCTATGTTACTTCTTTACCACCTATTGATCAACGAAAAAATCAGACTGCTCCTACTGTCATTATTCATTCGAAAGAAACTCATCATTCTGAAACTCCTACAATTATTCCAACTATATCAATACCTCCTTCCTATGTTCCACCACCACCACCACCACCTCCTGCTCCCATTATGATTTTACCTTCGTCAGCAGCTCCTTCATATCCTCCTAATTCGACTATGTTTTTGCCATCTACAACTGTTCCTTCATATTCCTCTATCTCTCCCATGATGTTACCTCTTACAACAGTTTCAACTCAACCTTCTGGACAAAATTTTTTTCTTCCACCTTCAACAAATCCTACCTATATGTCCCAACCTTTATTTTATCCTATTCCTCAATCTAATCCTAATCCTCCAGTATCGGCACCGCCATTACATCAACAAACTATTATAAGTCAATCATCATCATCATCTACATCAGCACCTGCAACACAATTAAAAACTGAGGAAAACAATACAACGTTTATTGTTCGTCCAAATACGAGTAATAAGAAAAATGTAACCATACAAGTGAAAATGATAGATGAGGTTTGCTTGTCTTTTTATATTGGTGAAGCTTTAATAGTTTCTTTTTTTTTGTTTTTTTGTTTTTTTTCTTATTGTTCTTTCATTATTGATACAATTTAGGATAATCAACGTGATAGAACAAGATCAGAACGAGTTGTACATAATCTTCCATATCGTGAAATTGATGATCGATATTATATTGAATCTGAACCAAAACATATTATTTATGAACAACCAACACGTCGAAGAACAATTCGTCGAAGACCACCACCACCAGCAACCGAATATATTTATGTTGATGAATCACCATCAACTGTTGTTCGTCGTCGTCCTCATCGTTCTGAAGTTGTTTATGTTAATAATGAACAACCATTAGAATATGAAGAAGAAATTGTTTATGTTGATGATAATGGTAATGAAATTGAATACATCTATGATGATGAACCTGCATATCATCGACGACATTATAGAACATCTCATCAACCAACATCAACAAGAATTGTTTATGAATAAAATACAAAAATATAAGAAAATTTATTTTGTATGTAAATGTTTTTTTTTTTTATTATTATTATAAAAAAAAAGAAAACACCAAAAGAAAAAAAAAAAAAAGCGTTGTCATCCAATAAAAATTCTACATTTCTATGTTTGTTTACAAAAATTAGAATATAAAAGTTAATTAATTAATTAATTAATGTTCAATATTATTTTTTTTATTTTTTCGATAACGTTTACAAATAAAATATATAATTATAAATATTAATAAAACAAATAGAATAATTAAAAATAATCCAATATGTTTTTTTATTTTCATTATTATTAATTCTTTATGACAACCACCATTTAATTCTGTTTGAAAAAATTTAATCCAAAAATTATACATGGAATCAAAATAATTAAGTTCATTATGAATATTATTTAATTGAAAAAATATATAATTATGTTCATTTGATGTATAAGGTTTCCATTCAATAGTAGAATTTTTTATTAATAATGAATCTATATTTGGATTTCTATTTTAAAGATCAAAATAATATAATTAAGTAAAAAACAAAAACAAAAAAAAATAATAATAATAATATAATTAACTAACCCAGTTTTAATAAAATTTGTCCAATAACGAATTAATTGTCGACTAAAATTTTCTTCATCATCAGAATAATTATAATAACTTATATTAACATTTCTATGTATTTGACGATAACCACGTGCCAATGGAACACCAAATACATAATCTAATTATACAAAGATAAACATTAAGGAAAAATAAAATTTTCAATAGAACTTCTTATTAGATTTTCTTGATCAAAGGCGTAACCAGGCTTCCAGATTAGGGGGGTCTAGTGCCTCAAAACTTGAAAAAAATGTCCGACTTTCTGCGAAAATTTCTTATACTTTCTGCCAAATTTTTGAAAATTTCATAGTAATATCTGGCCGAAACTCAGTTTTTAAGCACTAATCACCATTTTTCTGGTAGAAAGTCGATCAAATTAGCATTCGTTGTTCAGTTTCTGTCGAAAAGTCAAGTGAGGCACTTTCTGCCGAATTTTTAGCCCCTCCCATTTTTCAAAACAATCGGGAACCCTGGGCGTAACTGAGAAATGTAGGTGGGGGATATTATACTCTGTCATCCGTAATTTACGTCTCTATTCTCGATAGATAATCGTTTTGTTTAAAAAAGAAAAAAGGTAAACTTTTTTGTATGTTTGTACTTTATATAGTTTTCATTATGAATAAAAAAAAACGACGAAGTTCTTAATCACTTTCGAGTTGGAACTCTATGACTGAAGAGAGTTTAGATCTTTAGATTATAATTTCTGTGATACTACGTCTTTATGATAGTTTTTATATGAACATCATAGTCTCCTTTAGAAAAACTGATTATAGAATTTCGTCTAGAAATTTTACATAGAGACAAAGTCTATCAGATTTTCTATATCTCGATAGTAAGAAGCTAAAGATCAGAATATTTTTCCGACTACTCATAGCTTATTTAGTTCTACACCATGCCTGTTATCTTAACTTAAAAGCGATTTATCAGTCAAATCGGGATCATCTTGTTCACATATAGTTTTAATGTTGAGTTTATTTTCTAAGATGAATCGATAAAGATTAGCTTTAATGAACACGAGAATTTTAATATTAAGCTTTAAATTTTATTTTGAATCTCTATAATATCTTTCAAATGATTAAACAATTCAATTTGTGAAATTAAATCATAATGGATCTTCTTTTTAAACATATTAATAAATCCGATGAAAGAAAAATATTTTCAATTGTTTTTCGAATTTAACATCTAGATAATATACATTTCTCTATAAGATGAACTAAGAATTACGAGTCTTGAAACAATTTTTCAGCAATAATCGAACTCTTAATGATAGTCTGAAAAATCACAAAGTTTTGAAAACCAAAAAAAAATTCTAATTTTTTTAAATCAGTAAAAAAATAAAACTTTTGATTTATTCATTAATAAATTATATTTTATTGATTATTTTTAAATATTTACCTAATTCAGCAAAATGTCCAATAACATGTGGTAATGTTTTTAAATGATCTCGAAATAAACTTCGTGCTTTAAATGTTGGTCGATGAGAATAAATATATGCATAATTTGATGATGTTTGATTTGAAATTTGTGTACGTAAATTTAAACAATGAACCATATGAAAATTAAACATTAAATCAGAAACAAGATCAATATAAAGTTTTAATCTCATCGTTATATTATTTTTTCCTAAATACAAAAAATAAAAACAAATCAAATATTTTATGTATTTGATTTTATTTTTTTTTGTTATTTCTAGAGTCCTGGAACGGGGTCGGGTACCCGGCACCCGACCGGACCCGAAACTGTGGTCCGGGTACAAATTTGCCGGGTCGGTTCGGGTGCCGGGTATAAAAAAAAATGCCGGGTCGGGTGCAGAATTTGAGCATACCCGGTACCCGACCGGTAGTCGATGACATCTGAACAAGTAAAAGTATTTTACACTCTAGGATAGAGTCCTGCAACGGGGCCGGATACCCGGCACCCGATCGGACCCGGAACTGTGGTCCGGGTACATATTGTTACTTGATGAAATTAAAATAATAGTATATTTTGCCATATGAAATAAAAGTTTGAAAAGTGAATATAATTTTGACAATAACAATCAAGTGCTGACTATTTCAAGGCTGGGCCGGGTCGGGTCCGGTCGGGTACCGGGTAGAGCTATCCGGGTCCGGTTCGGTTCCGGGTGGAAGATGACCGGGTCCGGTGGGATTCTGGGTTTGAAAAAAATGAGCCGGGCCGGGTCCGGGTGCGAAAAGTAGTACCCGTGCAGGACTCTAGTTATTTCTTACCTGGATATTCATATCGTTTTCTTATTTCATTAATATAACATTTTGAAAATTGAAAATTTGCATTTATATAACGTTCAACATAATCTAATTTTGAAAATTGTTCAAGAACAATATATGGATCATAACTTAATACTTGTTCAACATGTGTTTTTCTATGTAATTTAATATCATCTATATCATCTTCATCATAATCATAAATATCATCATTAATATTATCTTGTGTTTTAATTATATCTGGTGGTATAATAGCTGTTGAATTAATATTAATAAAACGTTTTTGTCTTGTTTTTAATTGTTTACCAATTGATGTTGATTGATTAGTTAAATCACTATAAAAATGTCCAATATGATATTCAGCAAAATAAAGACCTTCATTTAATGTAACACCTGTTAAAAGATCAATATTTTTATATATATCACTTTGTATAATATTTTCAATAGTATCATTTAAAAAATCATTATCAATAACAGGATATGGATTATCATCAGCTAAGAAAAATAATCAATAGAAATCATATTAATACAAAAAAACAACAACAAAGAATGTTTTTTTTTGTTTTTCATACCAATACTAAGACTTAAATGAAGACGATAAAAATCTCCTTTATTATCTTGTAATAATTTATGAATACATTGAAACATTTCTGTTTCATTTAATTGTGCACAATTAAATTCATGTGATAAACGTTCAATTAATTTTTTTGGTTGATGATTTATACTCCATGGTGCTAAACCTGTACCTGATTGTGATATAATACGTTTAATCATACCACGACAATATTGACTAGCTAAAAATATAATATTAAAAAAAGAAAAGAAAAGAAAATATAAATGATTTTACCTGGAATTAACATAACATTTCCAGCACCAGCTGAATGACCTGCTAAAACAATTCGTTTAGGATCACCACCAAATAAATGAGCATTTTCATAGATCCATTCAACAGCTAATAATTGATCCCAAAGACCAAAATTACCTATTGAAAAATAAAAATATATTGTTGTTGTTGTCTAACAAACTGGATAAAGTTGATCAATAGAAATATATTGAAAAGATCAATCAGAGAAATTAACATCTATTTAATTGTATTTCATATTTTAATTCTACTTTTATTCGATACATATATATATATATATTATTTCGTATTTTTCTATAACTAGATATTATTAAAATGTCTAATGTTCGAAAACAAATGAATAAATTAATCATAGTGATTATCATATTTATTCAGAGATTGTTTCTCCTAAGATTATATCGAGAATTAATCTGTAAAAACAAGATAATAAAACATCACTGTAAACAATGAACGCTATTAATACAAAAAGATTAAAACTATCTAATAATTCCTCACTAACAAGATTGTTTTACTGAATAAAACAAAATGTTATAAAAATTAATAACAACATAAATAGAATATTTTTTTAATTATTAACTAATGTCTCATAATGAACAGTCATTTATTATTTTTTTTTTGCATTTCTTCTTTTGTATTTGTATGCGACTAATATTCGACATTGCAAATAAGACGATTTTTCAGATGAACGATCAATTCATTACTGCAAATCGATAGAAAACTAAATATCCTACAAAAAATTATGATGTAGGTAGGTCTATCTAAATACAATCTCTTTCGGATATGCAATATGAACATAAATAATTCCTTCGAAATGATGCCATATATTTAACAAGGTAACGTCATACTACATACACACAAGAAACCACTGAATTAGTCTGGAAAGAATTTTCATGCATTTTTATAATTCAACATAGATAACTATCAAACAGTTCTGATCTGAATTTTCTGGTTGATTACATATGAGATGTTATCGTTAATAATCTGCAATATGCTAAAGTTAAAAAAAAAAACAAAAACTACGCTTCTGTAATTAATCAAATAAGAAACTATATTCTTTATGTATCAAAAAATAAGATGAAATACATATATTTCTAATACCTTTGATTCGATCATCTCCACTAGATAAAAATCCATGATAATTTAAACGAAAATTCATTGTTACAACAATAATATCACCTTCACTTGCTAGAATACTTCCATCAAATAATGAACCACCACCAATTTGATTTGAACCACCATGTGAAAATAACATAATAGCTTTTCGTTTTTCACCATAACGTAAATCAGCTCTATAGATATTTAATGAAAGACAATCATCATTAAAATTATTTTGCATTACAAATGAACCATATGAAAGATTTTCAGTCATTAATAATGATTGCATACAATATGGACTATATTTTGTTGCACTTTGTATTGAATAATTAAAACGTTTTTTTATTGGTTTTTCAAGTGATTGTGGAATTTCAGCATAATAAATACCAAGAAATTGATCAATATAACGATTATTACGATATTTTATTCGTTTACCATGATAAATACCTGTTGAAGCAATAAGATATGGTCGTTGTAATGAAATTTTTTTTTGTTGTGAAATTTTATTATATGATGCTAATTTAAATAAATATTCATTAGTTATATTTATTGTTGAAAAATTCGCTTGTGTTTCAGTTTTTTTACATATTATAAATGTACATGATGGTAAAGTTGAATTAAATGATAATTGATTAACAATACGTTCAAATGAAGGATAAAGAATAATTGAAGAAGAAGATGAATATGTAAAATGAATTTGGAATAGAAGAATAAAAATATAAAAAATTAAACTTATTATTTCATCAAACATTATATGATTAAATTTTTTCTTTTCATAAACATTGATCTAATAATAATTCAAAAATAAATATTTATCATTAATAACAAAATATGACATTATCATACGTACAGTCTAAAAAATGCAATATCTTAATTCATTTTCTTTTTTTTTTACTTCTGTCTATAATTGATTGTTCTGAGACTGGCTGCTTGAGTGAACACCTACAAAATACATATATAGAATTGACTGAGATAATAACAATGAGATAGACGACAAACCCATTAGACATAAGTATAAGAAGAAATCAAAGAGTAAGAAAGAAAAAAAAAAAAAAAAAAGAGAAAGTCTGTTCTTCTAATTACTTGAGACCTTTTGTTATTGACATGTAAAAGAAAGAGAAAAATGGACGATACTCTATTAGTACCAAAAAAAAAATCGTTCCATCATACAAACGACATTCTCTATGCTATGGCAGAGTTAACAAAAGGTCTTCGAAATGGCGACTCATCTATATCCATTCACGTAATGATGAATCAAAATAATACAAGCATAAATAGCAAAGAAAAAAAAAAAGTCATGCGTAAAAGCAAAGACGATAACCTCGGAAATATAGGCACCTGATACTAATCGATTTGATCATGCCAAAAAAAAAACAACATACTGATTGATGGACTTCTGTTTTTTTTGTTGTCCTGGACTACATCAATTAGTTAAAAGATCTATTCTGTTATATTGCTTGATTTGATAACGTCAACACATTGATTTATACCGATATTTTATGTACCAAACATAATGTTTAGTTGATAAATCTGGTATACATACATATATAATGATAAATCGATAGTCAAATAAATCTGTTAATAGCTTATCAAAGAAAGTTTACTTAGTTGTCTTCATCAAATACTATTCAATACTCATTAATATATCATATATAGGTTTTCATTTTATTTGATAAAACAAAAAAAAAAAAAGATGCTTTAAAATTTTGTTCAATTTGACATTTTTATTGTCAATATATGGCATTTATTTATTTTTAAAATATCATTATTATCTTTGAAGATACGTAAAAAGAAAGAAAAGAAAAAAAGATTTTGGAATAGTTTATAAGTATATTGTAACAAACATTGAGACAACAAAAAAGAAGAAGAATATTGATCAAACAACACTGAAAATATACCTACAGAGCTGTACATCAAAAGGTTACATATATATATATATATAAATTTGTTCTTTTTTTCTCTCATTCTTAATTTAATATAAAAAAAAATGCAACTAATAAATTAGCTTTTTAACTAGAACCAGATGCTGATGTTGTTTCAATGAACGTGGTACACTGTTAATTAGAAAATTTATGTTAGATTTTGTTTTTTTTTTAAATTCGAAATTAAATTTTATTATTTACTTCGGCAAGAAATTTACGTATACGAGTTGTATAATCATGTGAAAGCCATGTTGTATTATGTTGACCATCAGGAAATATTGTTAATTGTTTTTTTGAACTTTTACATTCCTAATTAAAAATAAATAAATTATGTATATTTATTTATTTTTTTTCGAATAGTTTAAAAAAAAAAATAACTAAATATAATTTAACTTAATTCAAAGAATATTCTAAATTTTCTAGATGAATTACAAAAAACATGTCAATAAACTGTTAGATATTACTTAAACTATTGATTCTGATTATTTCGATACATAATCATATATGAAATGTAGATATTTTTCTTTTTCTTATTTAGAATCTTAATATAAATATTGTTAAGATAATTAAAATAAAACAAACTTCATGTAATTTTTCCATCATTTGTGGAGGAACTAATTCATCTTGTCCACCAGAAAGAAAAAGTATTGGTACTTTAATATGTCGAATTTTTGAAAGTGATGAATACTATTATAACAAAAAAAAAAATATACATAGAAAAAAGAAACCAAAGATATACATACAACATTTTTATAGCACCAATTAGGTACATAATCAAGTACAGTAACTTGAAATAATCTTTTAGCCATATCAGGAATTGATGTAAAAGTATTTTCAACAATAATACCATATAATGGTGGTGTTGCATTCATTTGAGCAAGATGTGAAGCTAAATAATATAAATAGTAATAATTTACAAAAAACAAAAAATATTATATTTTGCTATTTTACCAAGATGTAATGCAACAGCACCACCAAGTGAACGACCAAATAAAAATATTTTTTCTTGATTAAGATCATTACGTTTACGAACATATTGATATACAGCTAATGCATCTGTATAAAGACCTGTTTCCGATGGTGTACCAGTTGATTTACCATAACCACGATAATCAAAAAGAAGAATATTAATATTACATGTTCGATATAAAAGATTTGCATTTTGTAAACTAAATTAAATAGAAAAAAAAATTTTTTTTTTTTCTTACAGCATAATCGATATTATCTGAACACAACCGAAGCCATAAAAAGTAGTCAAAAGTCGACGAGAAAGAATTAATCAAATATTTCTTCCAGAATCGCTATAAGATATACAGCGAATACATGAAATAACAATTAGTGACTAATTTCGAATATGTCACATATAAATCGGTTTAAATTCTTCGAACAATCTGCCTAGAATTCAAATCACTCGATAGATTTTACATAACTCTTTATAGAAATCTGCGGTTTTCAACATATGATAACCACAAGGAGGAAAATGCCGTACTCCCAGATTATGTCATAACTATGCATCAAATCTGTTTAGCTATTTCAAGTCTCTTATCAGCCGAAGTTCAGCCTACGTAAGTCTATCTGACAATAAAGCCTAAATACTTCACTGTACTTCCACTTTGGAAGTACAATAAACTATTTGGGCTTTCGGGTAAGAGTAACTTACGTAAGTTGAACTTCGGCTGATAAGAGACTTGAAATAGCTAAACAGATTTGATGCATAATTATGAATTAGTCTGGAAGTACATCATTTTTGCTTTTTCTCCCTTGGATAATCAAAATTCAGAGACATATTTTTCATTAGTAAAATCTTCTCAAATAGAAAATATTTGAAGATAAGTTTTTCAATGAATTTCTGTAAAGTTATAGTAAGTTTTTAAAAATTATTATAGAAGTTTATTGATTTTTTTTTATGTAGGTATATATCCCACACTTGTCTTTCTCTTCATTGAAGTATGACACTATTATAAACATAGGTTATTGAGTATGGTAAATGTCATGGGAATATTTATTTTTATTCAACCATAATTAATATATGGGATATTTTCTTATGAGAAAAAACAAAAACAATGATTTTCGAACTCTTTTCACTTGAATAGGATGTGAATGTACATAATTATCAATAGTCCTACTAGTTTACATATTTGTTCGAGTAAAAAAAATGAGGAAATAATTTCAAAAGAAAATATTTGATTGACAAAATTTTATTCAATTTTTAGAAAAACAAATCGAATTCATTTAATATTATATAGAATAAATCGAGTTAATATATATGTATGTTTTTTCTTATTATTAACATACCGATGGCCAATATTGCCAGCATTACCATGAAAAAAAACTAATGTTTCACGTTCATTTGTTCGATTAATTTGTTTAATTAAATATCCATGTAATTTTTCATTATCAGGTGTTTCAATTGTTATTGTTTCATATGGCATATGAAATGTATCAGGTGTTTGAACAATTGTTCGTGCTGTATCTGGTTCATTTGGTTGATAAAGTAAAGCATCTTGAAAACCATATAATGAAGCTAAATAAAAAAATGAATTAAGAAGCTATGTTTTTTTTATTTGAAATTACATACATATTTGTTGTTGTGCATTAGTAAAAAAACTATTTATCGATTGCATGAAATTCATTTAAATAAAAAATATAATAAAAAAAAAATCTATAAATATAAGAATTTTTTTTTTTTGTTTCATAGAATAAATGAAAATTTTCTTGAATTCTATTTGAACGAAAAAAAAAAGAAAAAAAAGAAAAACTTTAATATTTCAATTCCATCCGAAATAAAGCTTTTATACAATCGAACAAAATACATAGGTTTTTTTTTTTTTATTAATAAGCATTAGAAATATTGTTCAAGCACGTTGAGGTCTTTCAGGAATTAATGATGAAAAAAATGTTGATACAGCTGTAAGTAAAAGACGTGATGTTGTTATTTGATTATCACCAACAGGAGGAGCCGGTGGAGGTGGTGGAGGCTGAATATCAGAAAAAAAAAATAAATATTAACTTTGTTTTGTTTTTTATTTTATTGAAATATTTATGACTTCTTTCAGTTTAAAAGCGATTAAATAGTTAAGGGACTTAACTTGTAAACGTTTAAGTCACTGTGAAATACTTATTTGTATTGGATTACTAACACATTGTACAAACTTTAGGTTCAAAAAAACAAAACATTTTACATACACGTTGACGCTCAATATCATTTTGATTTTGAGCTTCATTTGCTATAACTTCAACTTCAGTTTCATCTTCTCCTCCTTGTTCGACATCATTTGCAGCGGCAGCAGCAGGTTGTTCAGGAACAATTGGTACCGGTGGTACTTGTGCACGTCGACGTCTATGTATAGATAAATAACCACGGCAATGTCTAAATAAAGAAATATATATATATTAGTTTATAAAAAAAAATAAAACTTACAAATAGAGAAGAGCAAAAATAACAAAAACAACAAGAAAACGACTGAATGTTGAATAGAAATAAATAATCGAACAAAGAACAAATAATTCGACTAACATATTTAACACTCCTAATAGATCATTCTCTTGTTCAGCATCATTATTATTATTTGCTGCTGCTGCTTGTTGTTGTGCTGCTGCTGGTGGTGGTGGTGGAGGAGTAGTATTATTATCAGTAGAAATTGATTGTTGTATTGAACTAGTTGTTGTTGTTGTCGATGAAGGTATTACTGTTCTTTGATATGTAAGTAAATTTTGACTAAATAAAAATAAAAATAAATATTATTTATTTTTATTTTTATTATTATTTTATACTTACTACATTTGATAATGTGTATAACAATATTGTAAATAAGCTTGACTTTCATAATTACATATTGGTGAATTTCCATTTGGATTAATTATAAATCTAAATAAATCTAAATAATTAATTATTAATGAAAAAATATAATTTGAAATACTGTTGAAGTTGTTGTTGATATTTATATAATTCTTCTAAATACTGTTCATAAGCATTTGAATGTGAAGAATTTGATATTATATCAGATGTTAAAAGTGGTTCTGTAACAATAGAAGATGTTTGTACTGTTGTTGTTGTTGTTGTTGTTGTTGGTTGATTAGTTCTTGGTGTCTAAAAATAGAAATTGATTAGAAAAGAATAAGACAAATTATTGTAAACAACTTACAGATGCATTTTTATCCGAATCAAGAACAAGATGAATCATAAATGATGATCCGGATGTTGACTAAAAAAAAAAATGTTTTATTTTGAAACATCAAAATATCTTTTATGAAAAACAAAAAAAAAATAATATTTCGACATATGTAATATGATACTTTCTTTTTTTTTTTGATAGTAATCAAATGTGTAAATTGTTATCATAGTAATCAATTAACACTTTTTTAATTTTTATTCATTTATTTTCAAAACTTAATTTATAAGAATAATATAAAAATTTTGTTCGATATATTAAAATGGAAAGAGAAAAAAAAAACTTTTTTATAATTCTTCTCATGCTAGAAAATAAATATTTTTCAATTTAGATTTTAAGTGAAATTTATTTTATCATAATAGAAAAGAGCTAATGACATAACTGTTCTAACTGATATCTAAAATTAGAACTTCTATTTTACAAGAAAACTCTTTGAATAGAAATGTTCTTAACAATAAAATAAAGAATGTAATTTATTCAAAGTATATGATAATACTCAGTGACGTAGTCAGGGGTAGGTCCATTGCGCATAGCTCCAAAAGTTATTGCCCGTGGATTTATTGAGCTATGCAGTGCTTGAACAGTTATTATCCATAGATATTTTTGAAATCATAACGGTTGCTCTTAGCTGTCTGTAACTCAAAATAGTTCGACTGATGAATTGTCCATGATTCAAAAATTCCTGGCTACGCTACTAATACTACTTAAGATTATCTGAGACGATTTCATTTGATATTTTATAATTATTTAGAAATATGTTAATATAAATATAAAATCATTTTTAGATATATTGAAAATACTACTTTAGATAGTATAATCTGATCTACTTATGATAAATTAATTTTCAAATATGACTGCAGTCGCGGCTTATATTAAACGATTCTAATAAGTAAATGACTAATTTTTTTTTGGGTTCATATTCTTTAATTCATCGAAAAAAAAACTACATTAGAGTTAATGATAGAAATTAATTACTGATTAATAAAATGAAAAAATTAAATATAATATATAGTTTTATTAAGAATTAAAAGATAAATCTTTACTTTAATAAATATTTGATTAAGTATACTAGCATCATCAAGAAGTTTACCAGAAAAAATTAATCGTTGATCTTTAGGTATCTATAAATTATTTAAAGAAAAAAAAAGAAAATTTAATTGAATAATAATAATATATATTTTCCTACTGGTTTAGTTGGATGATTTAATGTTATTTTTTGTTTTAAATCATAAACAGTTAATAATGGGGAAAGTTCCAAAACAAAATCTACATATTTATTATTTGTTGTACGAATAATTAACTTAATTGACTCATTTAATGACGCCATTTGAAAAACGAATTTATGTTATATTTTTGTATTTTATTGTAAATGAAAATTATAAGTAAAAATAAACATTCATACCAAACAACCTACATACACACAGGTGCTTGATTTTGTATTGATGATTATTTTTAACCAATCATAAATAAATCTATAGAGTTAGTTTTTTTTTTTTCTTTTTTCTAGAGGGCATTACTATTATTATAATATGAGTCATTTGATTATTGATAGATAGAAAAAATAGTTTAAACACTCGTTTATTTTGTTACGTTCTATCGATCTTAAAAGAAAATAGCAATCAATAAGATGTCAGTAGAAATGATTATCGTCTTTGTGTTTTTTTTATTCTCGATCATATTTTTTCTCGTCATCAATTTTCTTAGGAACGGCTAAAAAATATATATATAGCACGAAAAGAACACCGTGACATTTACAACACAGAAGTCTCAATGTCAGAAAGTTGACTCCTTTTCTTTTTTTTTCAATATCAAGGCTATAGTTAGATATAAGATGATAATAACAAAAAACTAAGTTTATTTGTTCTATTTAGATGAATCATATGCGAAAAATTGTTAGTAAAAAAAAGCGAAGATATCAACAAGATGGTTTCGATCTTGATTTATCATGTAACTATATATATATATGAATTTATTTTATCAAGATTAATAATTACATTTCTTTTTTTGTTCTATTTTATTAGATATTCGACCAAATATTATTGCAATGGGATATCCAGCTAATAGTTATGAAGGAGTTTTTAGAAATAATATTTATGATGTTAGCCGGTAAAAAATTTCGTTTGTTTATAAATTTTTATTTTATTTTATTTTTGTTTTTTGTTCATTAGATTTTTGTCATCAAAACATGGTGATAAATTTTATGTATATAATTTGTAAGAATTTTAAATAATTTTTTTTTTGAACAAAAAAAATATCTTTATTTATAAATAGATGTGTAGAAAATGAACGTCAATATGATGGATCTCGTTTTAATAATAATGTATGTACAGATTTTAGTTTTGAAGATCATAATCCACCTCCAATGAAAATGATATTGGCCTTTTGTCAACATGTTAAAACACAATTAAATTTAATGACTGATAGAACAATTGTTATACATTGTAAAGCAGGAAAAGTGAGTTAATTCTATATAAGAGATTATAATCGTTTTATTAGAGATAAAATTTCAGATAAACAAGACTTTAATAATGATTAGAGAAATTTTATGAATTTTATTTTGATTATTATTAATAACATCATTCATAGAAGAAAAAAAAAACTCATTGAAAATTTAATTGCGATATTTATTTTTCTCTCGATTTAAACTTATTACAATTTATATTTTTTTTTTTCAATCTCATATATCTCTAGTAACATCAAATATGTATCTATCTGTTTATAGTATTAATTTATCAGAGAAATCTTTTGTTTATCTCTAAAACCAAGCATATAACCTTTATATTGCTTATTCAAAAGTCCATCAAAAATGTTTAGTGTTAGATTTGACCTATGTCATATAGAACGATACATTGATAATCATCATTTACATTCTAGTAATAATAAACATTTTTTTTCGGATTTATTATTTTCATAGGAAATTTAATAAGTTTTTTTTTTCAAATATTATTAGAAATTTTTGAACGATTACGATAATAAATCTTGATGATCTTATTTATTCTTTTGATGTATCTTATACATCATTTAATAGATTTTCTTGAGAATTCTTTGTAGGTACTGCGTATATTCTTGAAAAAAAAAAGTCATCGTGTCATGTTACCTAATGGTCAACATGATCTTTTATGATAACATAGTTATTTTTACATATTCTTTCTTTATTATCTTTCTTGAAAGATAATTAACATAGATGAAAAGACTCATTCTTTTACATTCTAAACATTCCCATTTATGAAATTTATTCAAATCATACTTCCCGTCTTGACTGTTTCACATATATATAACTAATAGCTAATTAACGTTAAAAAACATTAAAATGAATATGAAGATGAAAATAGTTTTAACTTATTAATAGTTTTATTTCTAATCTATTATACATTAATAATGGATGGATCAAAAGTTTTGTACCCGAATATTTGACCTACTTGAATATATTTCTAAGAGATCAAAAATAATTGGTTTATAATTAGAATTTTGTAGTTTTTCCAAAAGTAGATTCAGAAATTTTCTTAAAAGATCCACAGGGAAAATTTTTGTATTTTCATGAACAGTAAACGATGATACTTTTATTTAATAGATTAGTCAAAAACTATCCTATGAAATATTCTATTGAATTTTTCTTTAGGTTATTTCAAATTTCACTATTCTTAAATCTTTATTTTCAAAAAAACAAAACAACTTTTTGATTAAAACATATTTTATATAGAAAGATATTAATTTATTTAGGGTCGAACTGGTGTTATGTCTTGTTGTTTTCTTCTTTATTATTATCGAGATGAATTTAATGATCCATTAGAAACATTAAGATTCTATGCTCAACAAAGAACATCTAATGAAAAAGGTGTTACTATACCTAGTCAACGTCGTTATGTTGAATATTTTGGTCATTTACTTAATTATCAATTAATATATACACTTAAACAAATTGTTTTTACTGGTTTATTAATAACATATGAACAAAATCAAGTTATTAATTCAAGTTTGTCTGAAAAAAAAAAAATACAAAATTCATTTGTATAAAAGTTGTATTTTTGTTTTTCTTTAGGTATATCTTATACAGTTAGTTCATATAATCGTCGAATACAATATCAATCATTTGAATTTTCTCTTGAACGTGATATAACTATGCATCAAGATTCAATAGCAAATTATTCTGTATTAAATGCAACACATAAATATTTTATACCATCATCAAATCAACAATGTCAAATACCATTAGAAGAAGATGTTTTAATTGAAATTTTTTTAACAAAAACAAAACGTGGAAAACCAGTAATTTGTTTACTTCTTTTTGTTTATTTATTTATTATTTTTTTTTTTTGATTTTTTTAGGAAAAATTATGTCATTTTTGGTTTAATACATTTTTTCTTGTTGATTCTAAAATGCAAATTTTATTAAGTAATTATAATGAAAAACATCCAGAAAGTAATTTAGGTGTACTTAGTTCATGTCTTATACCAGAATTTGGACATAAACATTTATATACAATAATAAAAAAAGATATTGATGGATTACATAAAGATAAATTTCATCGATTAGTACCAGCATCATTTACAGTAAGTTTATCTATTAAATTAATATATTCTATCTTAAAAAAAAAAAATGTTTTTTTTTTACTATATCACAATATATTGTATTAGATAACGCCATACTTCTTTCTATTGATTAAATTCTCAAGGGTCTAAATAATTGGTGCGAAGCATTGGAGCGCAATGCCCTTCTGCTTTTGAAATTTCTCTATGAAATGTTTTCCTTCTCTTGCTTAAGAGATTAAACTATACAGTACTCCTACTTTGGATACATGTCTCTATTGAAAAATTTTTACACTCTCCTATCTTCAGAGGTGACTTAGGTTTTGTGTCAAATTTCGAGATCTACGCTGATTTGTATAGTGCTATCTTTATTACATAACTAAACTTGAAAACAAAGCTATAAATCGATCATATGATTGATACAGTCAATTTGAGTGTAATCAGATTTTATAAGCCAACACAATTTTCGACTGAAATCTAATATTTCTTTAAGAGCTTAAAATATAATCATAAACTGAGATACAAAGAAAAATGTAGTCGAAGAATTATGATTAATCAAATAGTTTAAACTATATAAGAATAGTTAAGTTATTGCTAGGATAATTCAAGTCTTAATGAATCGAACATTCTCTTGTATAATATTAATTTTAATGTTAGAAGTTTTTATAACATATTAAGAATAAGAATTATGTCTATGAATGATTAAAACTTAATCATGAGAAATTATTCTACATCATAAAATATCTTCAATAATAAGAATAAAAAATAAAATTTTGATTTCTCATGAGTTTTCTTCATTTCTATTGATTCGTACTGAAACAGATAGAAAAAAAAACGATTTCCAATAATAGAAAACAATTTTATTTCTTCTTGCTTGTAAATATAGATGACTGATCTGAAGAAGATCAAGCAACTTATACTAATTGATTGATTTAGCAGTCGACATATTCATAAATTTGATAAGAAAAGCAGTCAACTGCATAATTCTCTACCGAAAATAATATATATATATATATGTTGGCGTCCAAACTCGGATTCCGTCCAATCTGAGATTGGACGAAATCCGAGTATGGATGCTGACATATATATGACCTAATTTGTAATATATTTCTAGAGCGTTGAGTAAAAATATGGTGGAAAAATATGTCCTCAACTAGAAATAATAAATCTGTTTTTCTATGGTTTAACAATAACAGCTGTATTTTGTTATATATTATAATATCATATGAATTGCGCGAACAGTTTTTTTTTTGTAATGAAATAAATCTTCTGTAATAATTGACTAATTTATCGTTATTCTAGAATATGATTAAAATATTTCAATTTTATAAAAAAAAAAACGATTATTTAAAAAAATAATCTATCATTAAATTAAATATTTTATTATTTATCTTTAGATTTCTGTTCTATTTGATTATATTCCTACAGCATCTCCAATATTTAGCCAACCTGATTGATCTATAGTAAGTTAAATAATAGAAATAATTTCGTATATTAAATTCTTTTTATTTATGAAAATGAATAAGAATATTGTTTTGTGTTTTTTTTTGTTCATTTAGATTATTGGCAAAGTTTATATTGAGTAAAGTGTGTCTACATCTGTGATTTAATTTCATTTCTTTTTAATAGTAGTTAAACAACAAAAAAACAGTAAACAAATCAAGTATTATTAGATGAATAAAATTTTGAATCACTGTATTAAATACATTTACTCAGAATATTAAAAAAAAATCCAAGACAAAAATAAAGATTTGAAATTAATCAAATCTTCTAACATTATATTAAAATGTATCCATCTTTAACAAAAACTAAATGATTTATATAAATCAAAAATGTTCTAGTCTTCGATAATAAATCTTCAAAAACAACAGCAACAAAAAAAAAATTTTTTATATCTGTGCTTTATTCACAAATAATCTGTTTGATTGTAATAGTACAGAATTAGAATTCAGTATTAATCAAACAAATGATAATTATTGTAAAACGGCGATTTATCACGCTAGGTTTTTTTTTTGGCTTTGTGTATTTTATCATTATGATTTTGTATTGTATACAATGTTTAAAATAAAACACATATGAAAATATTTATTTCAAATTTTTTAGTTGATGACTCTGTTGTTTCTTTTTCTTTTTTTTTTTTTGTATTATTCGTCTATTTCTTTAAAAGAAAAAGAACGAAATTTAATAAAATATATCAAAAGTTTCGAATAATTTCATTCAATTTTATAGATTGAAATATTTTAACTTTGATAAAGAAACAATTATTTCGTATATAATACTATCATGAATATTTCTTCTATGGAAATTTCTCTGAAAAACTATCTGATTTTAAATGACTTTTACTTGTCTTATAAATGTAATCACAGTTGAAGTTTTGCCGAAAAATCTTCTAGACTTGAACAGTACATTGAGAAGTAATATTCGATGTTAATAATAGATGGTCTGGAAAGAAATAATATTCAGTGTGTATCGATTTTGAATCTATAGTGATCGAAGATGAGATTGGTTCGTAAAGTTTTTGGACTTGAACCAATCACATTTCTAATCAATGATACTCAACCTTAAAGAGTTCTTTGAAAATCTTCGTTATTTTGTTCAAGGTAAAAGAAACACCTTTTACAAAATACAAAAAAAAAAAATTAACAACATTTCTATGAATTTTTTTCATTTCATTCATATGTTAATGTAAACAAAAGTTTTTGCTTTTTACAATAACTATAATTTGGTACTCAAAAAAAAAAAGAAAAACAAAAGATTCATAGTAACGAATAATTTTTATATAGTATACCTACAAATAGATGAGAAAAAAAAACAATAATCAATTCAATAGAAAAGATAAAAATAGAATGAATTATTCATTAATTATTTTTATAAAAAGAATTCAATTTCAATTCACAATAGATAAAACACAAAACTATTAATTATGTTTTTCTTTTCAGATATCAAACATATTTTTATCTATTTTCAACAACAATTTGAAACAATTGTTATGTAGTATTTTCCAATGACATGATCACCTTTCTTTTTTTATTCTTAGTACTGTATGAAGAACGTAAATGTCCTTTTTGCGTCATACGTTGTAACACATATCTTAAGGTGAATAAGGTTATTATGATGCATTCTCTTGTTAGAAAGAAAAAAAGAAAACATTGTAAGCACATAACGAAGATGCACCTATTTATATAAGTTATTGTTTATCTTATCCGTTTACTTTTTTGTACTTTGTGTATGACGACTATGGTGAGATGTTTTCTATTGGATGATTATATAGTATTAAAGTTTAAAAATTTGCCAGGGTTTCATCTTTTACATATATATATATTTTAGAAAAATAACATTTTATATTTCATATTATCTATATAAAAAACTGAAAACAATGTTGAAGTTTTTGATAATAATCAGCTGTTTTATATTCAAATTTTCAATAGCTGACGTAAGAATTTTTATTATTAATGTTTAGTTATTGTTTTTTTTGTTTCTAAAAAAAAAGGATCATCATTGTATATGGTATGGACAATGTGGAACTAATCCACTTGGTCGAATAACTAATTGTTATTACAATGGTTCAGCAAAATTATTAACAGATGAAACAGCATTGAAAACATTAGAAACTGCTTGTGGTATGACATATCATGGTATGTAAAATAAAATAATAATTATAATCAATATCAATAGAATTTTCATATATTCATAAAAAAATTTTTATTCGTTCTTTGATAATAAAAAGATAAGTACTGATTAAACTGGGTGGATTATTTTGAGTTTAATTTGATGATACATTATGTGTTTTTTACTTCAAAAATCTATGTAAACAATACTTGAGTATGTATTTATTAAGTAAATTAGGTATATAATAATTCGAACAAAAAATTATCGAGCAGTCTTTGATTATGAATAATTTTTGATAAGAACAAGCTAGTAAGCTACAGTTTTCACTATTAGAAAGAGAATATAAACATTCATAGAACTGTATATAATATAAAATAATTTAACTTAGTCTTTTCAAGGACTTACATTAACATTTTTGAAAGTCAACGTACTTCGCAAGGCGACACACTAAGAAAACTCGCTATTTTTGTTTTTTGGAGCGATTTTTTCTAGAAAATTGATTAAGAAAACATAATATAGGATTCGATACATTTTCATCTTTTCTTTCGAACAATAAAAACCGCAGTTATCTAGCTTGTTTCTTTCAAAGGTGATTCACAATCCAAGACTGTCCGATAACTGTTAGATCATTCTGTAGATATTAGATAAAGTGATAAAGTGAAACGTTATCTAATAATTTCAGGTGCAAATAGTACATATACTTGTTGTGCACCTGATCAAATAGCTAATATGGCAAATCAATTTGGTATGGCTAAATTAATGTTAGGACGTTGTCCATCATGTTATTATAATTTTCGTTCATTATTTTGTTCAATGACATGTAGTCCAGATCATAGTCGATTTTTAGCTATTACAGAAACTGGTAATAGTTCATTATATCCTGGACGAATAACTGTTGAATCAATAACTTATACAATAGCTGATGATTTTGCTGAACGTATACTTAATTCATGCAGGTTAATAGTTTTTTTTTTTTTTTTAATGGGAATTTTTTTCTATATAACTTTTGATTGTTATATTGTGTGTTTAGAGATGTTTTATATCCTGGTGGTAATCAACATTCTCTTGATACAATGTGTGGTCGACCATATGATCAATGTACAAAAGAATCATTTATGAAATATTTAGGTGAAGATAATCCAGCAGTACCATTTCCAATACATATTCTTTTTTCAAATGATACAACTGATGAAAATAGTTATTATAATCAAACAACATTTTTATGTAATGAACCTATTATATCAAAATATGAAAATAAAACAGCTTGTGGTTGTTTAGTATGTACACACAAAAAAAAAAAAATCTTTTTTTTGTTTTTAATATAAAGACAAAAACAAACAATGAAAAAAAAATATATATATATTTTTATTTTATTTCATTTAGGATTGTCCTAAATCTTGTAGTCCATTACCACCAGATGTTCCAGATAAAAAATTTATAATTTTTAATATAGATGGATGGTTTATAATTGCTATTATTGTTATAATAATTTTATTATCAACATTTTTTATATCAATATTTACAATAACAAAATTACGAAAATCTCGTACAAATGAATATGTATCTACAGGTGAAGATAAACATCGTTTTTTTCTTTTTTGGTTTGTTTTGAAAAAATAAAATTTATTATATATAGAAACAACAACTTTACTTGATCCATCAACTCGACAAAAATCAATTGGATGTATGATGAATATTCGAAAACGTACTGAACGATTATTTGAACGAATTTTTTTTCGGTAAATATTTTTTTTTTTTGTTTTTTTCTTCTTATATATTAAATAAAATATATATTTTAGTTTGGGTCTTTTCTGTGCTCAACATTCATATATTGTTTTAATTATTGGTTTTATTATCATAACAATTCTTTCATGTGGTTTAATTAAATTTCAAGTAACAACTGATCCTGTACAATTATGGTCAGCTAAAACAAGTATTGCACGACAACAAAAAGACTATTTTGATAAACATTTTAGGTAAAAAAAAAATATTAATTTAAAAAATAAATATTTCTTTTTTTTTTGTTTTGATTTGATTAGACCATTTTATCGAACAACACAATTAATTATTGTACCTGATGATCAATCATTTGTAACACATTATTATTTATCACCACCAGCACCACTTAGTGAATATACATTAGGACCAGCATTTGAAATTGGTTTTCTAACACGTGTACTTGATCTTCAAACAGATATACTTTCACTTACAGCTCAATTAAATGAAAAAAATCGAACTGTTAGTTTATCTGATATATGTTTAAAACCATTAGAACCTGATAATGAAAATTGTACAGTTTTTTCCATTCTTCAATATTATCAAAATTCAAAAGAAAATTTAAATAAACTTATACATGATGATTTTTTTACTTATTTTGATTATGCAACACATTTTATGACTTGTTCACAAGCACCAACAACAACACGAGATAATCCATTAGGTTTATCATGTTTTGGAGATTTCGGTGGTACAATTAATCCATTTATGATACTTGGAAATTATACAGATGCAACATATGCAAATGCAACAGCTCTTGTTATTACTATTGTTATTGAAAATTCGAATGATCCAGAAAAAATTCATTTAGGTTTGTTGAGAAATTTTACTTCATCTATTTCTTATGATTAGATTTATTTTTGTTTAGCTGAAGCATGGGAAAAAGTGTTTCTTGATTATATGAAAAATTTTACTGAAACACAAAAATTTTTACGTACATCTGGTCGTTGGAATGAAACAGCTAATTTTACTGTTTATTATAGTGCTGAACGTTCTATACAAGATGAATTAAATCGACAAAGTCGTTCAGATATATTAACAATAGCAATATCATATACAATTATGTTTCTTTATGTAACATTAACACTTGGTCATATACGTTCATGGCGTACATGTTTAATTGATTTAAAAATTTCAGTTGGATTTATTGGTGTTCTTTTTGTTTTATTATCCGTTATGAGTTCAATTGGATTTTATTCATATTGTGGTATTGCTGGTACATTAATTATATTTGAAGTTATACCATTTCTTGTCTTAGCTGTTGGTGTTGATAATATATTTATTATAGTACAACATTTTGAAAAAGCTAAAGAAGAAGAATATCAATCATCAGATATACGTTTAGCAACAACAATAAGTCGTGTTGGACCATCAATATTATTAACAGCAACAAGTGAATCAATTGCTTTTCTTCTTGGATCATTAACACCAATGCCAGCTGTACAAATTTTTTCTTTATATGCATTTATGGCTGTATTTATTGATTTTCTTTTACAAATAACATGTTTTGTATCTATACTTGCAATTGATACTCGTCGACAAGATTCTAATCGACCAGATTTATGTTGTTGTTGTCAAATAAATAGTATAAATAATTTAACTGAACAAAAATCTAAAGGAATATTACAACAATTATTTACAAATATTATAACACCAATTATTTTAGGAAAATCATTTATACGTGCAATCATATTTACAATATTTATTAGTATAACATGTTTATCATTATCATTAATACATCGAATACCTATTGGTCTTGATCAAAAATTATCAATGCCAAAAGATTCTTATGTTTTAGATTATTTTTATGGTTTAGAAAATTATTTAAGTATTGGTGCACCTGTATATTTTGTTGTTAATGAAGATGCTATTGATTATAAACGTACTAATGATCAAGATTTATTATGTGGTACATCTGGTTGTTCATCTATGTCATTACTTGGACAAATAGGACAAGCATTACGACAACCTAAACGTTATTATTTAGCACAACCACCATCATCATGGCTTGATGATTATTTTGATTGGTTACAATCAACAAATGATCCACCTTGTTGTCGAATAAATAATCAAACAAAAGAATTTTGTCCAGCTACATTAAATAATACATTATGTATAAATTGTCCTATAGAATTTATTGAAAATCAACGACCATCTGCAAATGATTTTCAACATTATATTAATTTTTTTCTACATGATAATCCAGGTGAAAAATGTCCTAAAGGTGGTCATGCTGCATATAAAGATGCTGTACAATTAATTAATAATAGTTATGTTAAAAGTTCATATTTTATGGGTTTTCATTCTATACTTAAAACATCATCAGATTTTATTGATGCTATGAAAAGTGCTAATGATATAGCAAAAAATATTTCAAAAACAATATTAAATAATCAAAGTAAAATTTTTCATGATTCAAATCAACTTCAAGATTATCCAGTTTTTCCATACAGGTAAATTATATTTATATGAAAAATAATGTAAAATTAAAATATTTTTAATTCATTCAAAAGATAATCTATTGTAAAACATGATAAAAAAATGTTAATGTACAAGTTTTGTCTCGATAACCGAGACCAATAGAAAGAAAAATTATTGAGATCAAAACTAAAAGCAAAGTTTATAGTAAAATATTCAATGGTTGTAAGTAAATAATCTTATGAATCAAAACATAATTCAATAGAAATAATAATTCGACAAGTGTTTGTTGTCGACTAAATAAATAAAAAGATAAAAAAAGAATGTTTATTGAAATATTATTTAATCGGTCATTTTAACCTTCGTTATAAAAAAAAAAAAAAAAAAACTTTCAAATAAATAATATTATTTCATGTCAAGGTATTTTGAAAAAGATAATGTTGTCTTTACTTACAAAAAAAAAACAGTTATTCACATTTATCGGTTTGTTTTCTTTCGTAAAAAGTGATCGAATAGTCTCGCGAAGATTCCGTACTTCTTCTCAGAACACTAGAATTTTTCAAACAAATAGGAATTTTAGGTTGAGTTCGATCCTAGTCTATAATATGAATGTGATTCATTCACTACTTTTCAAAAGTGAGAAGTTCCGGACGCTCCTTCCCATGTCGTGAGAATCTCACAGCGATTTTCTAAAAAATTGGCATAAAATCGTGATTTATCGTATTTCTTTAAAAGATCGACGATTATATCAGATTTTATCACGATTATGGGAGAAGAGCTGATTTTCAAAAATCATTGATAAATCATGACAATTATTCATTCCCCGTTTTGTTATGAACACATACGGATATATAAACAACGCCGTTCAATGCATAACAAATAAATTTTCGAAATATACTTTTCTGATAAATTGTTTCTTGGTTATTTTTAATGAAGGAAATGCCAATCCCGATCCATGATCTGGAGAGGACTACACTGAAGCGGTCTGATAAGAATCGGACAGATCGCGCGATCTGGTCGGCTTGAATCTTGAGAACAAAAAAAATTGAATTAAATTCAAGAAAAAATCCAAATATGTGTCTCCAAAAGAACCAATGAAATAGTAGAAAATATCAGTAAACAGACGGTTAAATCTTGCATAAAATCACGATTTATCGTAAAAATCGCTGAAATAATCGGCAATTTTTAGCCGATTCAAAGGACATGGGTCCTCTCTCATACAATTAACTTCCAATACAATTTTATTACATAATATATATATATAAATATACTTTCGATGACTTAGATCTCTTGATAAAATTTCATTGAAGAATATTCTTTGTTTTTTTTTGTATAGAAAAAAAAACAAAACTTCCTTATATTAGAAGTAGTTAATTGTGATTATTTACTATTTTTTTAGTGTATTTTACGTATTTTATGATCAATATGTAACCATATGGCGTAATTTAATTATCAATTTATCAATATCATTTGCTGCTGTTTTTCTTGTAACATTTATTTTACTTGGTTTTGATATTCATACATCATTTCTCATACTTCTATGTGTTTTCATGATTATTATTGACATGTTTGGTGTAATGTACTTATGGCATATTGAACTTAATGCTATATCAGTTGTAAATATTGTTATGGTAAAAAAAAACAACAACATAATATTGAATATAATCATGAGATTATTTTAAATATATTTACTTTGTTTTTAGTCTGTTGGTATTGCAGTAGAATTTTGTGCACATATAGCTCGATATTTTGCTGTAAGTCAAGGTATAAATCGATTATATCGAGCAAAAATTGCTTTATCTGAAATGGGTAGTTCAGTATGTATAGAATTTTATAATTATTTATTTTGTTTTTGTCATTTTTTTTTTGTTTCTTTGTAAAACTAGGTATTTAGTGGAATAACATTAACAAAAATTGGTGGTGTTGTTGTACTTGCATTTTCTAAATCCCAACTTTTTCAAGTATTCTATTTTCGTATGTATTTATCATTGGTTATTATTGGTGCATTACATGGTTTAGTTTTTCTACCAGTTCTACTTAGTTATTGTGGTTAGTTATATAAATTTTCTTAATTGAAATATCTTTCGTTTATTATTTTTTTTTCTAGGTCCAAGTTCATTGCCTTTAATCGATGATAAAAACCATGAACATCAAACAACTGTAATTGTGGATAATATATCCAATGGAATTGACATTCCTGATCATGAAATTTCTGTTCAATTTCATTCAACAGATAAAGATTAATAAAATATTTGTTTAATTTTCTATGGATTTCTTTTTTTTTTTTTCTATTCTCGATGGTCAGATGTTGTTGTTGTTGTTTTTTTCTTTACATCTTTAGATATTAATAAACAAGAACAAGAATAAAAATATTTAAAGTTAATCTTATAGTTTTATTTTAATTTATATAGTGAATGTATTGATTGTAAGAAATCTATAAATAGAATTTTGCTTTTTTTTTTCTTCTTCTTCTTCAATTTGCTCCCGGTTTATTATCAAAAAATGTCCTAAAGAATAAGAACGGAAGAAAAAAAAGAAAATATCAATAATAAAATAGATCATGAGTTTTTCTTTTCTGTCATATTAGACAAGACAAATATTAATTAATACTCTACTATTGCGATCAAAGTAAGTGAAAATTACAAGTGTAATAAATAGACGCTATGACGTATCGATACTTGATCTATAATGTATGATAATATCTATAAAATGACTAAGAACTAAATTTAGTTTATTGCAATAATACTTCCTTTAATACTTATAATCTATGATAAAATATTTGTAAAAGAAAAAAAAACAAAAATAAAGTCATGGTTCACATGTACAATCGATATGATTTTTCATGCAATATGAAAATGATCTAAAACAAGTTTAATATAATAATAACTAAAAGAAACACAATGCCATATCTGTCAAGCAAAAGATAGATCGATTACATGATTTATAGCATATATGTCAGCTGTGTCAACAGTCTGCGAGTTTTGAAAATTATTATTTTTTTTTCTCTTATCTCATATTCAATTTTCTTGATTATTATTTATTATCATTTTTGACCTTACACATAAGTCATAAAATGACAGACTTTTGTTTTTCTAATAGTCTATATTGACTAAAAACAGTTACTGAAGGTTTCAAGGCATATATATGATTATTTTTAAATGACATGTTTTTTTTTTTTATTTGAATTGTCATGAATGTACTTATAATTATGTCAAACTTTTTAAGAAGATTCCTTTATTTTTTGTTTTTCAAACATTTAGTGACATCTAGAATAAAACTAGAATTTTTTTTTTTATTAGTATATAATTTTACAAGCAAAAAACAAAACCATAAGTAAAATTTCGAAGATTTTTCTCATTAATATCAAGAAAAAAAAATATGAATTAAATCATTTGACAGATGAAGATTTTATCCAATCATATATATTCATTAAATCGATATGTAAATTCTTCTAAATATATGTTAATTTATATTTCTTCTTTTTTTGTATAAAGTCAAATTAACTTAATAAAACGTTCTTTTTTCTTTGTGTTACTTTTATAAAATAAAAAAAAAAAAAAAAAACGTATTCGAATAGGTCAAAGTGATTTTTTACTTTTATTGCTAATTACTAATATGTCATTGATGATTTGTAATATTTTTTGTACTTGACGCTATTCAAAAAATGTAACGATTCATTTTATCATGAATCTATCTTTTACGCACTATGACTTTATTTTTTATTCACCTGGATTAAATCAACAAAAAGTCATGCCTGCTTTTTTCATCTACTGTCTCAATATTTTCTTTCCTTTCACGTTATATATATATATATGTGACAAGAGAGACATCAATTTCCGTACCTTTAATTTATACGATACTCAAATTATTACGACTAAAAAAAAATAAGAAGAGGTATGATAAAAAAAAAAACTTTTTTTTTTTTTTTTTTTTTTTTTATTTATTTCATAATAAAGGGAAGTAAAAAAAAGAAAAAGAATATTTCTAATTTCTTATACAATCAGTTAACTTTTTATACGTAGAAGAAAAGTATAGAAGTAAAATGATGTTGTAAGCTTTAGTAAAGAACAGAACAGAAAATAGTTAATAATCATGCACAATAAAACGTCATTGACATGCACAATATTTTCATAGTGTAAATATATTTAAATATGAAAAAGAATACATTAAAAAAAAAAGAACTAACGAAAGAAAGAACGAGAATAGCAAAAAAAAGAGTGATCGAGAAAGAAGAAAAAGAAAAGAAAAAAAAAGCCGAGGCATGACATTGACTAGTTAGAAAAACAAAGTCATATTGTTTAATATCCTCTGTCTAGCTGTTTTTTTTTAATGTCGTTGAATAATTTCTTTGGAGAAAAAGAAGATTTGGACGGGCGTGAGTTTGATGTATATAAATGCATAGGTAAGACAAGCATAGAAATGGCGAACATTAATATAAAAAAGTTGGTAAAAAGAAAAACCAAACTAGCATGTAATAATCTTGTTGCATAGTTCCTATTTATTCAGAGTAGGTGTTAATATTGCTAAATAATCATTTATTTAGCACGAGATTCTCACCCATTGGTAAATCTATTCTCATATAATCTTTCATATATAACTGTCGGTTATTAAATGACTCAATTTACATTATCATTTTTCTTTTTTCTTTCTTTTTTCATCTATTCTCACATTTCAGATGGAAATATTTTTGCTCAAAATATAATACTCAATCATTTTTTTATATTTAGTATATATATAAAAGAAAAAGAAGAAGAAACATCATCATCATTTATTATTATTATTATTAAAACAACAATATAATGTGTTTATCATCAGAAAAATTTTCTGAACAATATTCTCGTATTCAACAACAATTTAAAGAATGGACACAATTTGAACAATTATCAGCTATTGTTGAATTAACACGTACATTTCAATCATCATATCATTATTTTCTTTTACAATTATTTCAAACAAATATACAATATGAAAATGATGATATGTTTAATCATACAGTTGATGATGCAAATTCACCCGGTAGATATATATATATAAAATAAATATATTTAACAAAAAACAAAATTTTTTTTGTTTAGATATTGTTAAATGTTTATTATCAAATTCATTAGATAAAATATTATTTACACTTCAACTTTATTTACCATTAATAACAATAAAAACAATAAATGATACATTAATTGATGCTTATCATGATGTTTTAATTTATCTTGATTTAAATATTCTTAATTTAAAAAATTTTACTTATTCAGAACAACAAATAATTAATTTATCACAACAAATTTTATTTTTTATTCAAACAAATAAATATTTACAAAAATTATCATTAAATATACCACAATTAATTAAATTAGTACAAACAAATAAATTTAATATTGATGAACAACAACAACAACAACAAGATCATCAATTAATACAACGTTATTCATCAATTCATTCCCAACCACAACCATTAATAAATTATTCATCAGATAATACATCACAACAAAATACAATATTATGTCAACAATTAATACGTCATGAAATAAATGATAGTGGAGTTGATTTAACTGAACCAACAATAACAAATTCATTACAAAATTTTTTACCAACACATTCATATCATGATCGCTTACAACGAACAAATTTATTATCAACTATAAATAAACATTCATTTGTTGTTAAAACAGCATCATCACCAATACCAGAAAATTCAACAACAACAACAATAAATATTTCTAATCGTGTACCATTAACAGGTGTATTAAGTGCACCATCACCAACAATTTATTCTGATTATCGTCATAAAAATTTAAATTATCAACAACAACAACAAAAACATAAAATATTATTAACAAAAAATAATGAAAATGATTTAGAAAAATCAAATGAAGATATTATTTGTGAAGAAAATAATATAAATGATAATTCAAAAACTTTAACACATTTTTATTCACTTCGTTATCCAAATACAAAAATTAATCAAAATAAAGATAATGTATCACAATATTTAGGTGTTGATGCTAATTCAACATCTGTACAAAATACATTTATTGAACCAAATACGGGCATGAGAGGTAAATTTAAATACTTTGAGTTTCGTTAAATTAAAATCCAACTTACAAAAAAAATATATTTCCAAGTAGATATTATCAATATATTTGGGATATCATTTGTAATAACTTTAAAAAAAAAAATAGATATTTCTCTATTAGTTATGTTCATCAAGATAATATTCATTCTAGTTTTATCCAATCCAATTTTTATTCTTAAAAAAAATATTTATATAATTTATTTTCCTTTTTTTTAAAGATGTACCAAAATGGTTAAAACATCTTCGTTTACATAAATATGATGTTTTCTTTTCAAAAATGACATATGATCAAATGATGAATTTAACTATAGAAGAATTAAAAGAACTTCGTATAACAGATGGTGCATGTACAAAAATTTTATTAAATATTAAAAAATTAAAAGAACGTTCAATAATATTAAAACAATCACTTATTGATATTGATGATGGACAAATAGATTTACAAAATTTTATTCAACAATTAAATGAATTAATGTTAACACCAATACGTTCAAAACAACTTGAACAAGAAAATAATAGTGAAGAAGATTTACCATTATTAATAATGCAAATTCTTGAAAAAAGTATTATTTTAAATTTTATATATATACAGTGACGTATCCAGGATTTTTCAATATGCTGAGTCTCAATTTCCGGGCACGGGACCCAGATGACACTCATGAAGGGTGATGTTGGATCCAAATAATGGAATTTTATCAAAAAAAATTTACACTCGGAGTTTGCGAAAAAAATTAGCATTTTCCTGATCCCCCCCTCGAGGATTTTTTGCTGTTAGTAGTATCATGGTTTTTAGAATTTCATAGGAAGCTACACCGAATTTCATCGATAGATTTCAAATGTCGTTTAAAAATATGCAACCGTTCAAGAGTTATAACTTTTTGAGTTTTTGCTACATGTGAAAACAATTTTTGCAAAATTTCAAATCGTCATAACTCTTGAACGGTTGCATATTTTTAAACGACATTTGAAATCTATCGATGAAATTCGGTGTAGCTTCCTATGAAATTCTAAAAACCATGATACTACTAACAGCAAAAAATCCTCGAGGGGGGGATCAGGAAAATGCTAATTTTTTTCGCAAACTCCGAGTGTAAATTTTTTTTGATAAAATTCCATTATTTGGATCCAACATCACTCTCCATGAGTTTCATCTGGGTCCCGTGCTCGGAAATCGAGATTCAGCATACTGAAAAATCCTCAATACGTCAATGTGTATATATATATAGATTTATAAAAATTATATGTTTTTTTTTAGTTTATCAACAATTATCACCAAATTCATCACCTGATTTAAGTAATAATCTTCTTGGTTTATTTGATCGTTGTTATAGACATGAAGCATTTACTAATGATCAACGTCATATTCTTTTACAATGGCGTCGTCGTTTATCAAATACACTTCAATCATTAGGTAAAATTGAATATAAAACAATACAATCATCATTTATTCATACACCACAACAACGTCGTACAAATGGTAAACCACCAATAAGACCAATTAAAAGTGCAACAAATACATATTATACAAATAATTCATTAAATACAATACCATTAGTTAAAAATAAATCTGAACCATATAATAATAATACTAATAATCATTTTAATGAATCAAATTTAATACAACGTCCAAATAAATCACCAACATTAATTTATTCAACAAATGATGATATAAAAGATAATTATCTTCAAACAACATTTACTGGTATTAATTCAACATCATTACAACGTCATAATGGTGGTACTTATTTAGCTAATCAACAACATCAAGTATTAACACGTAAACCAAGTATTAATCCATATGATGAAATAAATACAAATAATCATCATAATAATAATAATAAAACAAAATTATGTCAAACATTTAGTGAACCAAATAAAATACATTTTCATAATTCAAGACAATCAAATCATATACAATTATCATCACAACAACAAAATTTATTTCCTATAACATCAACACCTTATTCACAACAACAACAACATAGACATTTTATTTCACGATCACCACCAATATCAAATACTATAGATATAGTATCATCATCACCAATTAAAAAATGTTATTCAGATAATGAAAGATCTAATTATTATGGTAAGATTTTTCTACGATGAGAAAATTAATATACATATAAAATGAAATCAATAGAATATATCGGTTTCAAGGAATTAACTGATGATGATGTCTATAAGTTATTTAATTTCAAACTTTGAGACTAGGATTATTTTTCTCTATATTTAATTAGTAATATATAAGATTTAATCACTTATGATCTTTTACATTTCTAATAAATATCATATTATTTAAAATTATATTTTCTTTCATTTTGTATTAATTGGTTCGTAATAACAGAAAATGATTCATTATCATAGGTTTTCTATGCATATTTACCTTGTTTATTTGTCTATAGGCAAATGACGTAAGGGAAATTTTGTATGGGTTATTTAAAAATAAAAATAGAATAAGCGACGAAAAAAAAAAACAAATATTAACGTAATGGGATTTTTCTCAGTATTGATATTTATTTATTAATAATAATCTGTCAGATAAAGATGATTCATTCCAAAAATGAGAATAAAGAGTTGATTCAAACTCAATATCGATTCGAGGTTTTGTTCTGACTTAATACGTTTTATAAATAAACATTAAATCTATCTTTACTCAAAAATTTAATATCATCATCTTTTATATTTATAGAAAATAATAATAATGATACATTATTATCCGATACAAATAATATGGAAACTACTGATGATCAACCCCATCATAATAAAGAATTTGAATCTTTATGTCTTCAAATAACAGAAAGTGCTATAAGTGATGATAGTAAGAATTAAAATAATTTTTTATTTTTGTTTATAATGAACTTTTGTTTTGTTTTTTTTTTTCATTTAGTTCATGAATCATCATCAATTGATTACAAAGAAGAAAATTCTGATATATCAAATTTAAAACAATCTTCAAATAATTCAACCGATACTGAACAATAATCGATTGATTTAATATATTAAAATATAGAACAGCTTTCTTCTTTAATTTCATGTATATGTTTTCTTACTTCTATATCTTTGTTTTCATTTTCTCAGAGTGTCTGGTACATTCAAAACAAGCTTTTTTTTGTTTTCGTTATTGTTTAAAACTAGCTTTTGTTGTTGTTATCGTTGTCGTCCCGTCCGGTGGCTAAGAAAAAAAAATAAAATAAAAAAACATAAACGATAACATCGAATGTATAGCCGGTGAGCTTTTCTTCTTTGGTTTTTTTTGTTCACTCTTTTTCACATCTTAGCTGCTGCGCTGCTGCTTTGTTTTCTTGTATGCTTTGAAACATAAAAAATATTTGTACAGCTAAACGATGACTTGTTTTTTGTTTTTTGTATTAGCAAATATCGGCAGTGCCATTTGCTAAGAAAACATAATTATTTAACGAAATTAACTTATAATTTGTATACGTGGAAAGTGTTATTGTTATTGTTTTTTCTTCTTTTTGTTGTTGCTTCTTTTAAATGTATATTTACCTTCATCTATTTTCATGTTCTGTCATTTATTAATTAAAAATTCACAAAAAAAAAAAAAAAAAAGAATACATAATCTATAAAATATAAAATAGTTAGTACTCAAAATTGATCGTTATATGATATAGAATAATTAGAGAAAATATATACACAGGTGAAAGAATACAGGTTTTGTATATAATGGTCGTAAACGACCATTGTTTTATTTGCATACTACAATCATTTATGACACTACTTATTTACTCTGATACCTGAATACGTATAAAATCACCCATATAGATAAATACGAAATTTGGATACGCTTGTAAACAACCGTAAATTGTAGTATTTTGGCGTATATAGTAAAATGTAGAAGGTATACAGACTTCATCCTGGATAGATTAAATAAATAATTTATACTTAGCGTTTCTTGAATTAATGTCATAAAAAAAATCTAAAATAAAGATAGTATGTACATTCACTTTCACAACAGTCAGTGTTTTATCCAGGATTTTTTTCTCCGGAGGGGCGATTTGAATTTCCGAGGGGGCAAGCCATGTATTCGTAGCACGATTATCACAAGTCTCGGGAGGGCGAACTCGATTTTCGGGGGCGGGAGGCCTCTGGATAAAACACTGACAACAGTCTAATAAACTTGAACATACATTGACTGTATACCATAGCACATGATGATAATCGAATTTCATCTTTTTTGGCCTGTGTAGTATTTTTTTTTTGAACAGATTTGATCATGTATGAAGATCGTAAAATGTTAATGTCATTCAGTATTTGCTAGAATATTGTCAATTGTTGAATAAATCAGAAAGATGAAGAATGTTTCAAGAGTATCCGAACCTCTGTTTTTTATTTGCACATTTCTAGTTCTCTAAGAAGATACAACGAAAAGTGCTTAAAATAAGGAGATATGTGTTTGAAGAAAAAACAAAATTTTTAAAGCACATTTTCGAAATTATTTTTCTGGATCTACGAGTTCGTTTTTGATGTTTTGAGATGATTTCATTCGAGAAATTTCAACAGATTCATCATTAATAACAAAAATATGTATATGAATCTAATGAATGTGAAAAAATATTTTTATTACAAGCATTATTAGATTGTAAATATATAAATATGAATTAAAATTTTTTTTGCTTCTCTTTTATTATTTTTCATGAATTAACTTTCTATGTAAAAGATGTAAGATTGTGATTTACAATGTATATGCCAAAAACTATTCATTATTCATGAGATGTAATTAAATAAAATATTCATTTGTGTATGCATCTTTTGAAGAGATTGTCTTGTCTTCTTTTACAGTAAAGATTAGGTACTTTTTATAAGTGTCAAAAATTTCAAAGAAAATAAATATTCATCGACTATATTCTTATATTTCATTATACACGTCATTCTTCGAATGTTTAGTATGTTGATTATTAAAATTAAAAACAGAAATTTTCCTATGTGGAAGAGAACTAAGTCTTCACAATTTCCTATCTAAATGCATTATTACTGCTTACAACTCCTGTATAACTTTTTGTCCGACCCAACTGAAAGCTGTTTTTTTTGCAAGTACCTTAGACTATATCTCAGAGACGATTGTAAACTTTCTTAAAATCTCGCTTTCTGTTGTTTTTGTTTTTGTAATTAAAGAAATACGTAAATGTTCCAACCTCTGAAGAATACTTCTCTATATCGAGAATTTCAAATTGGTCCATTCCAATGTTTAATGTACACTCATATGAACCGGCAGATATGATATTCTTCTTTCAGGATAGAAACAAATCAAAATATCTGAAAAATTCATAAAATAAGAGAACGAACTCTTCTCATTTTCTTTATTATTTGACATGGTGTCAACGCATATATATTTCCTATCAAGCTAATATTACAAATAGAAAAGTGCTTAACGAAATGTATTTTTTTTATTACATACCTCTTTAACTTCAAATAAAAATCTTGCGATTTTTGAAATTTGGATTTAAATAAATCTATTTAGAATATTTAATTAGTTTTTTAATATTTATAATTATCATTGATATTTAATTTCATATTAATTTGAATAAGAATTTTGTACTCAAACGAAAAATGTATTGAGTTTTTAAAAACTTTTCAAACTCATATAAATAATAGGATATAAACTAATAAGAATCGGGAATAATTAATGATTGATTATTTTGTTTTAAATCCTATTTAATCCAATAGAATAATCAAGAATTTATAATCATAAAATCTATAGATTTAATATCAATACATTTTCATCAATTTCATAATGAATTTTTATATAAAAAAAAAAAAAAATGTTTTTTTTACTTTCTATGCTATTGACATAAAAGAAATATTTCTTAATTAACAAATTATAGATTTTGTTTTTACTTTAAATAAATACAAAAAAAAAAAGAAAAGACAAGAAGAAAAGAAATACTAGAAATAAGAACATATTAATTTATGTCGATGTTCGATCAAATGATTGAACCGATTCATGACGTGAACCAGAATGTTTTGATGATGGTGGTTTTGATACAACAACAATTTCTTTTTCTGATAGTACTTGTACAAAAAATGCACCTTCACGTTTACGAAATTTTTTATTAGCTGCATCATATGATAAACGTATACCAAGAGATAAACTTAATAAACAAAGAATACATTCAATTGATGATACAATTAATGCAATAAGTACAAGTACATCTTTTCGTTCTTTTAAATAAGCTTGTCCATCAGTCATTATATTAACAACTCCTAAACGTAAAAGTTGAATATTAACACAGTCCACAATAAGTGTGACAATACTTAATGCTACATAGCATAATATCTAAATTAGATTAAAAATATAATTTAATATGAAGAGAAATTTTAGTTTTATAAACTAATTTTATTTACCACATAAAGACCTTTTTGACGTGCACAGATTATTCCAGTTCCACCACAAAGAGCAAACTTAAAAGAATAAATGATTTTTTTTTTTTTTTTTATTTTCAAAGAAACTTATAATTTAGTAAACGTACAAAAAAGCCACTCCATATAGGTGATACACTATGTGCCATCCAGACAAGTGATCGACTTTGTGAAATAACGCCAACAATAATACTTATTAAGGCGAATAAGAGATGTGATGATGATATAACATAAGTTAGTGTAATGAAAATGTACATGAGATAAACAACATAAGTATCATCTCTATCGGTTCAACATTTACCGACACGACAAAAAATAAAAAAAAAATGAACAAATAAAAAGAAAAAAAAAGACGGCAATGTGAAGAACAAGGACAGGCGTACGTCACATCTCATAAAAGATTAAATACGTTCGCTTCTTATTTTCTTTTTTTTTTTTTTTGCTTTTTCTTTTGTCGATAATAACACGAACAAGTTTATTCAACGTCCGGAATAAGAAAGAAAAGAGGAAAAGAAATGAACGATTTTTTCTCGTTTGTTTTTTTTTCCTCCGAACATCGTACGAGCGTGTGCAGACGGGCGTGCAAGTCATATTGAACAACGCAAGCGTTAATAGAATCTGTTCATAGTAGCAAAACTAAAGAACATGTAGTGTGCTATCCAATAAGAACAAACCACAACATCTCGATCAAGGACACTAACAATAACAAGAATTTTTTTTTTATAACTAAATCGTCGACGTTTGTTCGGCATTGATGACAAGTTCAATTGGGAGCTACTTAGACTGATCGTCATGCGTTAAGAAAGAAAGAAAGAAAAAAAGAAACAACTACTCAATAAATATAAAATTTAGAATTCGAATTATTTTAATTGTTCACATATGAAATATAATTTATATGAACAATAAAAATTAACCAATACAATATTCTATTAAAAATCATTGACACATGATTAATAAATTAATCGAAAAGAAAGAAAAAGTTCTTGTCATATTATACAGTTCGACTGTCAACGAGTGTCCTTGATTGAAGAAAAGAAAATAGATAATCTTTTGATCATGAGAGCGTATAGGCCTCGAAAAAATTCATCGGGTTTGATCTCTTTTTTTTTTTTTTTCTTCTGTTCATGATGTTCAATGTCTTGATCTATATTTGGATGAGTCTTCATTATTTAGAATTCTGTCTTTTTTTTGTTTTTGGAATGTTTTCTTCAAAGAAATATCTTATCATATTTCTATCGATGTTAGAATCATCCCTAGAATAATTTTTAACAAACGATGAAAAAAAGATAGTAATATAAAGCGTGTGAATAAGTTTTAATCGGATTACTTCTCTTTTTCTTTCATCAACATAAGCTTTTAAGAGATTAATGAGATTTAAGATTAAACATTTTCTTTTTTTATCATTCAACTTATCAATTAAAGATCATGAAAATAGTTTAGAATTTTATATAGATAAAAATTTTTTTAAGTTAAAATTACTTATTCAATATGGAAAGAATAATTATTTCGAATAGAGTAAACATTGTGTTTTTTTTTTCATAAGACGTTATTCTTAAGGATTAGTTTGCTGCAAGTTATTTGTCAATAGTAAGTATTTTAGTAAAGGACATCCTGTTAATTTAGACATTTTTCTCAATTTCTATGGAAAATAAATTTGTCAAGTGAACTCAATCATTCCTGAATGATTGTTCTGACACTCTTGATTCTTATATATCAATTTATAGAGAACAATCTTACAATTAATTCTATGCAAACAAATGTCAATTTTCTCTGTTCAAACTTGAATTAGACAAAATTTAGAATTTCCAATTTCTATTGACACTTTTAAAAAACAGCAAAACAAAAAAGAATGAATGTAGATTTCATTTATAATTAACCTTTCGATTGACTATTAATAATCAAAAATTGAAATAAATTTCATTTCTCATACAGACAAAAATAAAAATTATAGATAATAATTTTAAACAAATTATATTAATTATTTAAAAAAAAAATTTCACAAGATATATATTCTTGCATTAATTACATTTTACAAGTTTGTAAACAATAGTAGAATATTAATAATCTATTATCTTAATGAGAATATTTTCAATTTACATATTTCATTAGATTTCAACTAACAATCTTCTTGATTATAAGTACTATTCTTCTTAAATGTATTATATTGTAATATTTATAGAGATTTGTTTATAGTTTTAAAAAAATTTTCTTTTTTTTTTTTATATATAACTGAAAAATTCAAATAACATAAAACAACAAATAACATATATGAAAACTCGAATACAATAATTTTGTTGATCAATTGAAAGATTTTTTGTTATAATATTTTAATCGATTTGTATGAATATTTAAAGGTCGTATTAAACCTGATTGAGAATCTGGTTGATAATATTCTAAATAATCTTTAGAAAGAAGTAAATTATTTGTTGATATAGGAATATTTGAATCATTAGTATTATTCATTTTTAATGAAAAAAATTCTTCATTTGCTCTTATTGAACCACAATAACCATTTGAATTTTTATATTCATCATTATCTATTGTTGTTGTTGTTGCTGCTGCTGAGTCTTTCATTAATATTGAACGATTATTTATCATGCGAACTAAAGGAATTGATAATGATTGTTGTAATTCAGATTTATTAATTTGTTCAATCAATTGAGATTTTAAAATTTTTCTATTAGTAATTGATTTTGATGTTGAACAATTTTTTTGTTTTATTTTATTATTTTTAACATTAAAATAAGATATAATAGAAATTAATATTATAATAAAACAAATAAGAATTAAAATACAACCAGTTAATAAACGTGATTTAAATAAAAGAATTTCATCTAAAACAATATAATCAAAAAAAAAGAAATATTCATTTTAATTTTTTTGTTTTTTTGGTTATTTTTCTTTCTATTCAAATGATCTTACTATTTTGTTTTCTTATTATATCATCATAATTTGTTTCACATTCTTCACCAATATATTGTTTATTACATCTTAATAAAAAAAAAAAATAAATAGAAAATTCTCGAAATCTCCAATCAATCAAAAAAAAAAAAAGAATACTTTTGAATACTTACAAACATTTCCATTGATTATCAACACTAACACATTGACCTCGATAATGACAATATTTTAAAATAGCACAAGTCACATTTATATTTGATCGATTTATTATATTAGTTTGATTGACATCTATATAGACATTCGTCATCGTATAATTTATTGCATTTTCTGCATCTAATAAATAAACATTTGATGAATAGTAAAATGACAAAAAGAATACGTACGGCATACATAAATGCCACGATCGTCAATAGTTAATGTTTGAAAATGTAAAATTGATTCATATCTAAAAGCAAAAAAAAGAAAAAAATGAATCGTTTATAAAAAAAAAGAAATGTTTAAATATTTTACTCATTTTGAATAGAATAAATTCGACATGATGTTTTACATTGATTATCTAATGGATAATATCCTAATGTTTGATTATATTTACTCCATAATAAACGTGGTAATGGATTACCACGAACATTACATTGTAAAGAATAACTATTGAATAAAATCGGTTTATCAAATTGCGTTTTAATTATTACTTGAGGTGCATAAGTTTCTAAATATAAAAGAATAAAAATTTTCAATTGTATTTAATTGAATACATAATTAACTATTTAAATATTTTTTTACATACATTTAATTTTCAACAATCGGAAATATTAGAACAATGTCATCAATTTTATTTTTTTTTTTTTTGTCACCGATAAACTTCATCGAGAAAGTTTCGACAAGAGACAAAAAAAAAGAAAGTACATCATGAACATAAACACACTTGTATTCAATTGAATAATTTATTCAAGTAAAAAAAAAGTATAATAAATTATTTACCATGATTTATAACAGCATCAATATGATGTCGAACATATAATGTTGATTCAATAGGTGGATATCGTAAATCGAAATCATTTGTATTTGTTTCATTAAGAAAAAGTATAATATCAATTGTTGTTATATGTAATAAATACCAACATGAATCATTATATATATCTTCAATATCATTATCCATTCGTATAAGTATTAAATCATTCATTTTTATTTTATGATAATTATTTGATGATATTTTTATTACTTCATGTATAAGAACTTCACTTATTAAAATTTTTTTTTCAATAGTTTCCGATGAATATATTGGTTGTACACGTAATATTAATGAATGATTATATGTAGCTGATTGTAAATCAACAGGATTTAATAAATTACATTGAGTTATTGCTATTATTTGATAAATATTATTAATAAAAATAATTAATATAATAGTAATACTCGACATGCAATAAAATTAACCACATGGAGATCATTTACAAAAAAAGAAAGTGCTTATACAAACAAGACAATTGAGTATGTGTATATATGTGTTGTCTCTGCTGAGCTCATTTTTTTTTTTGCTTATAGAAATTTCTTTTGATGAGAGAAAAAAAAAAGAAAAGCAACGATAGAATAAAAAAAAAAAAAGAAAGAAATCATCAATAATAAAACGGAATTGAGCGTGGAATAACAATTGAGACGTGCTCATAAATTGTTGTTGTTATCATCATCTTGAGCAATTATTTAATTGTGGTTGTTCATAATCCATTGTTTTATTATATCTTTTTTTTTTCTAATTAGATAAATAATTAAGATGAAAAAAAAAAAAAAGGTTTTAGTTTTAATGATGAAACGTGATTATTATCGAAAGACATTTAAAATAAATGTCATTGAACTTGTCGGAAGTTAGGAAAAAAAAAAATTAATATATCTAAATTTTATTGACAAATGCATTCATCCTTAAATGATATATATTACGAAAATAAACCTTGATATTATTATAAGATATGACATGTTTATATATTATGTCTGTAAAAAAAACAAAAAAGAGAAAGTCTTATGTACAATTTATATATTTGATTATTTATCTCATTTAATAGTCTTAATGAGAGAGAGAGAAGATTTATGATGAGCTCAAGTATCATATATATAATAATGTCGTATTTAAGAACATTTTGTTTGACAACAAAATTTTATCATGTATGTCATGAATGTCATATGTCAGTCTTATTTAAAGAAATCTTAGAAGAATTTTTTTTAGTATTATTATAGACAAAAAAAAATTAGTTTATATACTAATGATATATGTTCAATAATAAAAAAAATTTTCCTTTTCGAATTTCTAAAAATAATTTGTTTTTTGGTGTTTACTCTCTTCAATAATTATAAGATAGAAAAAGAAAAAAAAAGAATATGACAATAATAAGAATTATTTATCATGTGATATAGGAATACAAAATTGAGTATGTTAATTTAATAAACGAAAAAAAAAAAGAAAAGCTCTTAGCGTAATTACCACGGGATTAAAATGTGAAACACGATGTAGTTGCTTTTGTTAATTACAGGGAGATCTTTTTATTTTATCTATTCTAAGACATATTTCTTCACCATTCTTTTATTTTATTTTCTAGAAACGTACTACTAAGGAAATACATCATATATATTTTATAGAGACGCTATTAATATAGATTATATAACAACATTTTTATTTCTGCACTTCAGCATTTCTTTTAAATTATGTTTTACAAAAGTCATTAATAGATGTTCTATTTATGTCAACACTTCAACTAAGCTCATTTACTATATATATCATAGCTCTATTTATAAAATTTTGGATTATTTGGCGGTCAGTTAATCATTGATTAATAATTGTTTAAGCTATGTAACTCGATTGATTAGATTTTAGTGTATAAATCTCTTTGTAGTGAGTAGAAACCATTGTAGGACAATATTCAGACGTTATACAATTTGACTTTAATTGATGATTTTACCGTGACTTTCCAATAAACGAATTAAAGTTCTTTATAACATCAATCTTATTAATTGGTCTCTTGTATCACATATCTATTTCACAGCAAGATTTGATAATGGTGTATATAGAGTGTGAGTGATCGCACTGAGTTTAGCTAGTCAATAACAAAATCATTCTCGATCCATAAACTATGAAATTTGAAAATCAAGAAATCTATCCAAATTAGATAAGATTCATCAATTTATTCGAATATTGAAACAAATCACTATGATTAATCCTGAAACGCTCACCTTCCGGACTACAAGTTGTTGACCATCTGAGGTTCGTACAGATCCCAGCCTAATAAAATAGAAATAATATACTATATTACCATTGTTTTGCAATAGAACTATAATGGCTCTGAAGAAGACTTATGTCTAAGAAGAACAAACAGAATAGCAGTTAATTTGAATGGTATTTACTCAATCTTTTGTACATTGCTCTCATACCTAATATGATTTCTTTTTTCTAAGAACTGAAATTTCGACCATATGCAATGTAGCTGGAAACTAATTCTTCCTGAAATAACGTTCTTTTTTCTACAGCGTCGATCTGATTGATTGTTGTTATCAGCGTACTCTACTATGTATCCCTAAACTGTTCATGGACGGACAAGATCCTATCTAAGGCTATAATTATAAAAAAGAATTTCATTAGGGTCCGGGTGAATCCTAGGTGGGAAACAAGCGTTCATACGTACTTCGAGATAATTTATAATATACATAACTCTTTATGAACTTAAATGAAATTTGTTGAGATCCAGATAGGCATGTTAGGATTAAGTTAAAAATTGATCTCAATATTGTTTGTTAACTTCTATTATTAATTATTTCTAGTTAAATATATTGAAAATTCTTCATCAAAGAAGAAACAACAAAACAAATATCAACAACTAATATTTATTTAGTTCCGTTAATAAAACATCAATAGAAAATAATAGCAAGTAGAAATATGTCTAAACTTCTATATTGTTACTATCGAAAAGATTTCCAAATAGAATATACTTATATTATTTTATACATCATTTCTTTCAGAATGAATAAAAAACAAAAAAAAAACTTTTCATTCAAATCCTATAACAAAATAATTCTGATCATAATTGTAAACTAAGTAAAAATACTCGTTCCATTAATAATAACTTTAAAAATTACGAAACTTCTTATCTTGAAGAAAAAAAAATTTATTGTTAAAAGAAAAAAAAATCACAAACAGAGCACCCTCCCCTCCCATAAATGGCTATTGAGTTTTAGAAAACAACAACATCTATTCGATGCAAAAAAAAAGATTATACAGCTTAAATTGAAAATATCTTATGATCACATTTAGAAATCATCCATTGGTATTGTACCATAAGCAGAACCATATACTTGACCTTAAAAAAAAAAGAAACAAAATAATTAATCTATAAAAAAATAAAATTTACTTCGTGTTATTTTATGTGAAGATGTTTCAATAGGCGAACGTGTTACGGATTTTGGTTTTGTTGATGATTCAGTTGATATTTTTTCAGATAAATCTCTATTACTCATCAATGGACTCATTGGTTCTTTATTAAATCTTGATGTTTTTGAATATTGATTAGATAATGATGATGGTGATGATCGAGTATCTATTAATGAAGTAGGTGTTAATCGTGAATGATATGTTGATTCATATGAAGGTTTAGTTAATAAATTTTGTTCATTTGTTGATGAAATTTTAAGATTTTTATTTGTATGAGGAGATATTGAACGTTGATATGTTGATGAACTATGATCATTTGGTTGTGATGAATATGAATCATCAAATTTTATTTTTGATGTATCACGTACAGATCTATCTAATGATGTTTGACTTCTTGGTGATTTTTCTAATGGTCCAAGATCAAATTTTAATGAATGTTTTAAATTTTCATCATTAGATTTATCATATTGATATGAAGAAGATGATTTTTTTGTTGAAATAATATTTTGTTTTTCTATATCAGTTTTTTTTTGATCTAATAATTTTGATTTTGTTTCAATTGTTGATAATTTAATAGATTTTGGATTTAAATATATTTCAAGTTTTTTACCTTTTTCATTACTTAACCAACATTTAGCTTCAAATTCATAAATATCATCATCTTTTTCATTGATTGATGTTTTTATTTTTGTATTTATTGCTAAACGATCTGATAGAAGTAATAAACGTGTTTTTTCATCTAAATCAAATTTATTAAGTTCTTCAATAGAATTAATTTTCCATATATTATTAATATAATTATGAGATGATATCCAATATGCTTGATGTTCAAAATGACCAGTTTCAATTCGTTCGGATGAACTATCACGTTTAATTTTTTGTTTATTTTTCATTTGTTGTGTATCTATAATTAATGGTTCATCTTGTGAACCAATACTTTGTTCATCCCATCGAACTTTTTTTTGTAAATTAGTTTTATCATATGTAATTGGACTACGTAAAATACTACGATTATTTACTAAATCATCTAATTCTGTTGATTTTGAATATCGTCGATCTATAGAACGTTCTTCATTATCTTTTGTTGATGGTAAACGTAAATTATAATCTTTTTTTAATTGTTCATAAGATTGACGATATAAAATTTCACTTATTTTTTCAAGACGTTGAATATATATATTTGTTATAGGACGACATGTTGAATGTTTTTTACGAATTGTTATTGAATCAAGTAACCAAGCTGAACCTATCCCAGTATTATCATGCCAAATTTTTATTCGATCAATTGTTCCAACATCAATATCCATAATCTATATGAAATAAATAAAAAAAAATAAATTTACGAAATCCATATTTTAATAATATATATGTTTTCAAGTATTATCGGTAAGTTTAACCGTATCTTTTCCAGTGACGTATCCAGGATTTTTCAATATGCTGAATCTCAATTTCCGGGCACGGGACCCAGATGAAACTCATGAAGGGTGATGTTGGATCCAAATAATGGAATTTTATCAAAAAAAATTTACAC